TCTTGCCCCTGAGAAGGAACAACCCCAGACACCAGCACATGCCAGGGCTGTCTGGTCAACGCCAAGTTGACAAGACAGCAATGTGCCCTTGCAGAAAAGGCAGCCAACAGTGTTCTGGGCTGCATTAGGAGGAGCATCACTGCAGGGTGAGGGAGGGGATCCATCCCCTCTACTGAGGCCATGCTCACAGTGCCATGGCAGTGCTCTGGCTCCTAGCCCGGGCTGGCACGTGTGGCTGGGTGAGAGGATGCGCCCTAGTCCCCCCCAGACAACCTGCCTGCCATTCCTGGGAGCTGCAGACCACACTCAGGCTCTGCATCTCTGCATTCCACTGCCTCCGGAACAAGCCTACCTACAACGAGCCACTTTGTCCTTGTCACTGTCTCCCCATTCAACTCAGACATCATGCCGATGGACTTCAGCCTGGCTGACAGTGTAGGTGGCTTCACGTCTGAGAGCAAGCCTGCAGCAGGACTCTGGCTATCCAGGAACCTGAACCAGGCTCTGCCTGCACCAGGGGAAGGAGCAAGCCATGACCACAGAGCAGGTCTTGGCAACGGTGCATCCCAGAGCTCACGGTGAGATGGACTCATGGATGGGGCTGGTGTGGGGGCACCAGAATGGTCTTGGATAGGTGAGGGGTTGCATCCGGGAGGAAGGAGTGCTGCAGGCTACATGCCCCAGGGGAGATGAAGAGGAGCAGGCAGTGGTGCCATGTCCTTTCTCTCCTGTCCCATGCCCCCAACCCTGCACCCACAGCCCCTCTGTGCTCATGGTGTTGTTTTTTATTGTTTTCAGGAGTGAAAAGCACTCTCCAGGAGGATGTCTCTGGACCCTTGATGAGTGGAGGTGCCCCTGTGGCCTGGGCACAGCCCAGGCGGACACAGCTGGGCAGGGGACTCCATTGGGCCAGCTCCCCACTGGGTCCCAGCAGACCCCATCCCTGCTGGCCATCACTGGGGACTGAGGCCATCCCGCTCAGGGGCTGACGCTGCTTCCCTCACTGGTCTAGCAGTGAGGGGACAGGGCTTGGGGGCTGCTTTTGCCACATGGGCACCACACACAGATGATGCCACATGGGCACCACACACAGATGATGGGGCTGCTGTGCCACAGCAGGGTGAAGACCTTGATGCATTCCTCTGGAAGATGGTGGCCATGGATGATCTCCAGAGCCAGGGATTTGCCCAGACAGACCAGGCCCCTCCACAGCCCAACAAGAGAGGTGAGTGCCCAGCACCCGCTGGGTCCTGGGGCCTGGCTCACTTGCACTGACCTGTGTTGTGGTTTAAGCTGAACCCAGGACAACCTGCAAAGACGCTGTGGCAAGCAGGGGCCAGGCTTGGCGTGGAGGTGCTCGTGACTTGGGGTAGAGGGTGCCCGTGGTGTGAACTGAGGCATTCAGCTCCCAGGCTGTGCTTCTAGAACTGACTTCAAAGCCAGAGAGCCTGGGAGAAGAGATGGACATCTCCCTTCCTTTAAACTTTCCAGCTGTAGCCAAATGCTGCCGCATCACCTCGCATGGGTGTCTTCTCCTTTCCCTCCAGCTTGCTTCTGGAAATACTGTGTCACCAAGTGAGGGGTTCAGGAGGAGCTCTGCCGGCCACATCCTGCCACTGGGATCCCAGCGCCTTCCACCCGCACACTACCCTGCACCCGTGGTGGGCTGGATGCACTGAGCTGTGAAAGGGCTCCGGTCCCCTGTGGGGAAAGGGGAGAGGGTCTGCAGCAGAGGAGGGGTGTTGTGGGGCAGGGGAAGAGTGCCATGAGGATCCGAGGTGCAGGACAGTGCTTCTCCCATAAAGCAGCCCTCCAGGACTCCTGGCAAGGCAGAGCTGCCACCGTGGCCTGGCAGGGAAGTGCCAGCTGTTGGCAGGAGCTAAATAAACCCCTCACACCAGAGCAGCATCCTGTGGTTACTCATTCACCGCATCCTCCCAGCGCCACGTGCAGGGCAAGGGCCCCTGTCTGTGCACGTGCCCCGTGAGGAGACATCTCTCCCATGGGACAGGGTTTCCCTGCTCAGCACCCTCCCTGCCTGGTTGCTGCAGCTCTTGCTCTGACACTACGCAACCGAGGCGTATTAAAATAAAGTTTATTGCTGTTCTTAGATTAAAAAACCCAAACAAACCAAACCCCACTGATAACAAAACCAGTCCCCAAACCCAGTGCTATGAAAGGCAGGCTTGCAAGGACACACCTTTAAGTGCAAAGAGGGAAGTGGCAGTGAGGGCCGGAGGGGTTCTGCTGCAGCCCTGCAGGACCCACCGTGCTCACTGTACAGTATTGTTTTGCCCACGGGCTGGCTGGGGTGGGGAGGGGGGGTTGACTGAGCTCACAGGCACTGGCAGGAGCCCTGGGGGAGCTGAGGGTATCGGGTGGGAAGGATGGGGTGTCGTGGCTGTGTGGAGCGGCTTTGATTCCTTTTGCATCAGCAGTGCCAGACAGGAAGGCACAGTGCTGAGCCAGGAAGCACCAAACCTGACCCCGTGTCTCCTACCGACACAGCGCTCTATAGAGCAGCTTTTGCCTCTTGGGCTGTCCAGTAGCAGGATGTGGAAACCAGATGGATTCTGTACCCTGTGTGCCTCACCTTGCAGTTGGGCACCTGAAGTGCTGGTGGGGACTGAGGTGGAGCTACATTAGCACACGGCTGCACCTCCTGCAGCATCTTGCAAGGCATGGAGAGGTTTCTTAGCTCACAGGAGCCACATGGGACCTTGCAGCAAGCAGCGCATGGCCCTGGGTTCTGGCATGCAGGGGAGGAAAACCCCTATCCTCAGCCCTCCATCCTCAGCCCTTTGCATGCCTCTGCACCCCCGTTCCCTCCCACAACAGGTCCTGGCACTTTCACACGGGGCACCATCCTCCTGCTCCCATGTCCTAATGGGCAGTAGGATGCATGTTAGGACTCCTGAGCAGTGAGAACAATGTGTCACTGCAACAAACTACTTGGGACGGAGCCTTTCAGTTCTTCAGATGGAGCCTGGATGCCATGGTGGAAGAAAGGGCTTGCCCAAATGCAGGCTGCAGGGTGCTGTGCAGATGGGTGACCAGGCGAGCTCAACCAGCTCCAGCCCAGGAGGTGTGCTGGGATCCCTGTTCCCGAGCATACAGCATGGCTGAGACCGCGCAGGGCTGGCAAAGCAGCTCCAGCAGCGGATGGGGAGGCAGAGCTGGCCCAGCCATGGGGGACTCTCTCAGCTGCTCTTCCACACAGTGCTGCTGCGGCAGGCGAGCGCTCCACTTTTCCCATGACATGTGGGCACAGGCCAAGAGGCCCATTTTTGGGGAGCAGGGATGCGGTTGTGCTGTGGCCGCGCAGGGATGGGTCTGTGCTGGAGGAGCCGGAGGAGCAGCGGTGTGAAGCAAGGCACTATTTGGAAAGGCGGGAGGCAGTGCTGCCATGAGCCCCCTCTGGTCCCTGCCTTGCGGAGGGAGGTGGGTGCCCCCCGCAGGTTAGGTCATCTTCCTGGCCACGCTGGCATAGGTGTGCTCGATCTCCTCATCTGCAGGACATGTGTGGCTGAACTCATCGCAGGCATATGCATTGGTGAGGTAGCGCCACACTCCTGTCATGTCTGCCGGGATCTCAAAGTTGCGGTACTTTTTGGCTGCAATCTGGAGAGAAGAGAGGAGGAGGCTGAGACATTTCAAGCCTGGGGAGGATCCACTCTTTGGGACAAATACAGGAGCTCCGGTTCCTGTTTGCATCCCCCTGCCTTGTCACCCTCCCTTGGGGTGGGTGTCCCCGCTGCAGCCCCAGGACTGTGCCATTACCTTGATGATATGCAGTTTGGGCAGGAGGTTGCAGTCAGCCAGCGTTAGGTGGTCTCCATCCAGAAACCTCCTCTTGGAGATGGTGACATCTTCCACACTGTCCTGGTCGATCTCGTCGGGGAGAGGTGTGTTCAGGTAAATGTCCAGGCGCTGGAACTCCCGCAGCAGGGCCTTCTCGAAGCCTGGATGCATGGGGGACAGGCGCCATGATCTGAGTCCGCAGGGCTACACTGGTGCCGTGCACCCCTGCACCCTGGCCAGAGCCTCTGCTCCCAGGGGACCACACCAGCATCAGCCCACGCTCCTCTCCCCAGCGCCTGCACACGGGGCCATTAGCCTCACGGAGCGCGGGGCTGCCTTCGCCCTTCCTGCCTGCTCCTCTGCTCACCAGGGAGGCTTTGGTGGGGAAGGCAGTGCGACCCCTCACCTGCAGGTTAACCTCACCCAGATGCAAACAAAAGCATCTCTCCACCCAGCAAGGCAGATCATGGTGTTTCTTACTGATATTCGCTTCCTTGCGTGGGTTCTTGACATACGCCGAGAACTTGGCAAAGATGTCGCTCCCCACATCGAAGGACTCCTTGTACTTAGGGCTGAGGCGTGGATACCTTCAAAGAGACACTTGTGTCAGCGTGAGTGAGGATGGAGGCAGGATTCGGCCCTGTGGTTCCCAGGTGAGTTATGCCCTGTGTGTCATGGGACCCGAGCATTTGCTCCCACTGTTTTCCACTCCAGCCCATCCCAGACCCCTCCCCTTGCAGCCCAACCCACTGCCTTCCCCAGGGGATGCAGCCCCCCAGCACTGCCATCCATGTCCCTGTGGAGCCGGGTGCTGGGTGCTTGGTGGGAGCCAGCCCCGTCCCACGCTGCTCTGGGAACCTCCCAGTGCCATGCCTCGGTTTCCCAATCTGCCCAGCACTGCACAATGCTGCGGCGTGCCTGGCAGTCCCAGAGGGGAAGGAGGGAGCTTGAGATTACATGGGTGGGCCCAGGGTCTGCTCCAGGAACTCCTCAATCTTGATGAAGTCTGTTTTCAGCTCCTTGTTGAAAAGCAAGAAGGGTGGGTTGGTGCCCGGTGCTAAGTCCTTCAACTCTTCAGGTTTCCTGGAGTGGAGGAAACAAGTGGGCTCCATGCCTGCAGCCTCCCCATGGTGAACAGGCCAGGCTGAGGTGTGGCTGTGGTTGGGGCAAGTACTGGGAGCACCCCCACTTTCATGCGCCGCAGGGTTTGGGGGCTGAGAAGCGCTCCCCAGTCTCTCGGTCTGCCCTGCAGCGCCTCAGGCTTGTACCCACGTCTGGAGCACAGGGGTTCCTGTGCCACGAACACGGCTGGAGCTCTGTGCTGGCCCCCCTGCAGCACCCAATGGTGAGGACCATCACCCCATCCCTCTGGCATGCTGGCTGCGGGGCGAGAGCAATGGAGCTGAGCCGGGGTGTCTCGCCCCACTGCTGGCCCAGGGCTGGGCCGTGGAGCTGCTCACCTGGTCATGTCCACTGTGGTGACGTTGAACTTGACACCTTTCAGCCACAGCACCATGAAGAGGCGCTGGCAGAAGGGGCAGTTCCCAATGTTCTCTCCATCCAGACCAGCCTGCAGAGGAAGAAGAGAAATGGGGATTTAGTGCCTGGGCTGGGCTCTGGTGCGATGCCTGGAGGTGGAGAGCCTCTGGAGCTGGTCTCAGGAGGAAGGCACACAGAGGACCGGACCAGCACCCTGGCACTGCATGCTGCAGGTACCCAGCCCAGCGCCAGGGCTCACTCGGCTGCAGGATCCGTCCTCTGAGCCGTGACCGTGCTGCTGCTGGGAAGATCGGAGAGCATCTTCAGGATGCCTAGGGTCGGATCCTTCCCAGAAACATGAGATAAAGCCAGGAGGAGGAGGCAGGGGAAGGAGAGTGGCTGCTGGTGGATGGGGAGGAAGGGAGGGTCCACTTGGCCAGGAGGCCAGGCTGGAGAGGGCAGCGAGACAGGAAATGTGCTCATGTTTGCCAGGAAAAGAGCAGTTTGTTTTCATGTGCTGTTAGCATCTGCCTCCAGTTCTGTGTGTGTTTAACAAACCCAGGCGTGATTTCCCCAGGGCTGATAATGGCCAAGAACCACCCAAGCAGCATCCTGGGCCTCAGGGCAAAAGGCTTAGGGGTGGCAGGGCTGAGCAGTGGTGGATCTGTGCTGCCATCCCACGCAGCATCAGTGGGGAATGGAGCCATGTGTCAGCTCCTAAAGCTTCAGTCATGTGCAGACAGTCCCTTTCAACCCCTCTGCATGGACACAGCTGCATCATCTCAGTGCTCGGGGGGCTGCTCTGTGACCAGGATGGGGGTCAAACAGCAGTGGGGAAGCAAGGAGCTTGGACAACCTGTCTGTGTCCCAGCAGGGCTCCCTCATCAGCCTCTCAACCAGATGACGCCCATTCAGCAATCCTAAGGGAAAGCAGCAGCAGGTGGAGCAAAGCCCATTTCCTTGCTATGTAGCAGGTGAAAATACCCTTTGCAAAAAGGATTAAGACTCCTTATGAGGAATTTGGCTAAGAGGAATGGAGCACATTCCCTCCACCTCCCCACCAAAGTGCATGAAAATGGGTACAGATGCTGCTGGGAGAGGGAAGTTGGTAAAATGGCTCACAGGAAACCCAACTTCTTTGAGAGCATTCGTCAGTTCCTCAGCTGCACATGAAGCACGACCCTGCATCATGTGCACATGGCGTCCTGCTGGTGGCAGGAGCAGCAGCGTGGCCACGCCGGCTCCTTCACAAGGGATGCTGCTCCCACAGCACCCCGGCGGGAGGCACGAGCCCTGGCCCTGCGCTGGACCTAGAGGTCAGCCGGGGAGCTGAAGCACAGGGGCTGAGCAGGAAGGTGATGGGAGCTGGGAGGATCTGGGCTGTGCAAGTCAAGCAGCAGCAGTAACGTCCAGGATGGGCAGCTGGAGGTGGCTCCAGGGCTTGCACCTCACTGGGGCCCCAAAGACAGGCTGGTTGAGGATGCTTCATTAGCAAAGATGTGGACACCTGTACCTGGCTCTGCTGGGCTGGAGGCAAATGCCACAAGTCACCTGCCTGTACCTACAGAAACCTGTGGGCTGTGGAGTGCTCGGCTTCTCCAGGAGAGACGCACCAGCCTCAAACTCACCCTACGGGAGATGCTAAACTGATCAAACCAACCCCCCAGTGCTCTGAGGGCTCCGCTGGAGGTGATGTCCTCTTTTCTACCGTGCCAACACCTTCTAATCCTTTCAGGGGAATGAAAATGACTTCTTAACCAGTGTTTCCTATGCTCAGCTGTTGTCCTGAAATGATGCTCCTGAGAAAGGAAGTGGGAACTAAGAAACAGATTCTGGGATGTACCCAGAAGTGAAGCTGAATTCACACAGGAAGCTTTTTGTTGGCTTATTAATAGAAACACTCCTGGGAAGCTGCTGCCTGGGAGTGTCCCAGGTCAGCTTATAACCTTATAATAACAGGTTCCTTTGGTAAGGGATAAGGTTGTGTACTGGATGTCCTGCAAGGGAGCACAGCCACAAGGACTCCCTGCTGGCACCAGAGCAGGGCACTCTGCCACAGGGAGAGCACTGGGAACCAGGGCACTCAGGGAGAGGGGCTGGGGACACTCGCAGCCACACGCTGTCCCTCCCCAGCAGCTTCCCTCTGCAACGGTGGGGAAGTCATCACCCTTCGCTTCCGCCTCTGCAAAGCCTCTGCCCCTGCTCCCCCCCACCCCCGGCTCCAGCAGGGACCGGGGTGCAGAGCTGGCAGCCCCCACACTGACCTTCCTCACTCTTTTCCCCTCCAGATGATGGATAAACCCAGCACTGGCTGGCGCAGCATCTCCAAGGAGGGGCAGGTTTCTAGCCTCAGCTCTCTGAGGCCTCATGAAGCTGCATTAAAACCCAAAGTTACTTGGCAGTTCCTGTGGTTTCCCGCCCAGTGAAACAGCATGAAATGTGGTGAGAGGAGGGAGCAGCTCTGCGTGCCTGGGGCAATACAAAGGGCTCAGCACCCATCAGGACCTGCCCACGGTTCCTGCAGCCACCCCAAAGCCCAGGGAGCAGCCCTGGGACAGCTAAATGCCTCGTGAGTCTGAGGGGCAGAGGTTCCTCTGGGCGGGGAGAGCCCCACAGCCATGGGATGATGCTCTCATCGGAACCACTGCAGGGTGAAAAATTGCCAGCCCCCTGGGGACCTCCTGCCGCAGCCTGAAGGTGATGCAGGACCTGCTTCACAGCCTCCCTGTCCTCGCCAAGTTAACTGCAGCATTTGCCAGAGTGAAAGCCAGGCAGGGGCAGCGTGTAGGTGGGTGCCTGGGGGAGCACCACCTCCTCCTGTGACTTATGGCTGTCACGCTGATGATTTATGACTGTCACAAGCTGATTTATGGCTGCCTCAGGGCAGACCCCAGCCCAGATGAGGTGCAAGGCACGATTGCATGGGCGGGTGACTTTGGTAAAACTGGGTGATGAATGGGAGGAGGAGAAGGCACAGCATCACTTTGTCTAGTAACAGACAAGCCAGAAGGGTTTTTTCGTGCTAAATTAAGGCACAGGGGAAGTCCTGAGGGTGATGCTGCTTTGTTTTCAGTTTCCCTTCCCTCTGAAAGCCCCTGGAACGTGCAGCCGCCATTGCAGTCACCTTGTGTGTTGTTTTCTGCTTCTCCCCGGCCACCCCAGGAACAAGTGGTGCTAAGAAGGGAATTCAAGACCCCAATTACTTTCACCAAGAAAACACACTTGTCTGGCTCAGGCACTCGTCTGAGCTCAGTGCCTGGCAAGCACAGCCACGGCCACAGTCTTGGCAAAGGGATGGGGACATTCCTTCCACAGAGTCTCAGGTGATCCTTTCCAACACATATTCCCAAGTACTACCCAAGCAGAGCTCTGCATGGTGTCCAATGTTGCCAGGCGCCTATGCTGGAGATGCCAGTGCCTCTGGTCAGGCACTGCAGTGCTTCCAGACACCGAGCTGCCCTGGGAGAGGAACGAAGCCCACCAAAATGAGTAGCTACAGGGAAACGGCCCTTGAACCATGATGAGGTGGCACAGGGAGGCTTCACTCCCATTGGCCACTGCCACTTTACAGCATGTCCTGGGGCCCCACTGACATCGCTGCTGGCACATGTGGGTACCAGCCACCAGCGCTGGTTCCTCTTTTCCTGCACACCACATGGCCACTGTGAATATTTTGAACTCGAGTGTTAAAATGTTCCTGGGGAAGTGTTCAGAAAATTGCTGATCAGGGAATTTCCAGCTAGTAACCCCCCAACCTGCTCTGTGAGGCTGCACCATCCCTCCCACTTTGGGCACCCACCGGCTCTCCGGGCTGGGCGCTCTGTTTCGCAACCCTGACCCACAGGAGAAGCTGAGGTGGCTGCTCAGCCCTCCCGCTCACTTCTCCCCAGTGGTGGCTCCTCTTATCTGGGTGTGAGAGGCACGTGTGTGCCCACTCCCCTGTCACACCAGCTGCCAGCTAGCAGCACTGCTCCCTGGATACAAGACCAGGGCATCCTGCAGGATGCTAGTGTGACACCCACTGGTGCCTGCACCGGGTGGCCTCCCCAGGGCACCCGCTCAGCTGCCTTCGTGGCCAGGGATCCCAAACTTGGTTCCTGTCTCCAGCCTCCCGAGACGTGAAGACACCCCCGAATTCCCACTGCCCGCACCCAGCTGGATCCTGGTGAGGATGAGCCTGCAGGGAACTGCCAAAGAGCAACCATCCCCTCGGGGACCCACCTTCACAAACAGCTCGATCTCAGGCTCCTCGGTGGCGCTGTGCTGCCGACTCTCCATCCCAGCGGCGTGGGGAGGAATCACTCACTGCTGTGCTGAGTTGGTCTGTCCTCTGTGGAGCACAGGCAAGGAAGGCTTTCAGAGGGCTGTCGAGCACCTCGGCTGTGCTTGCACACGCTCGCGGAGGGCCAGGGCTTGCCCTTTCCTTCCTTTTGAAGCGGGGAGGAGCAACGGGGTGTGCGCCTGCCAGGACCTGCCGCCGGGGAGGGGGAAGCTGTGAGGCCTCCCAGCCGTGACTCAGCACGGGTCTATCTGGACGCATTCATGGGTCCCCTTCCAGTCTATCGCACCCGCCCAGGCGCTGCTCTGGTGCCTCAGAGCCCTGGGCTGGCACCCCCAGCACCGCTGCCATCACCTCCCTCCCAGCTGGGAATGGGAGGGGTTGCAGGGGAAGCATCTCTCCCGTCACTCCTCGTGCTGCTCTGCTCTGGTCATGCCCCTTCACCATTCTCCCACCCCTGTGCCCAGACACCAGAGCCCAGATCTCACTGGTTCTTTGTCTCTTTCAGGTGAACCGAGCTGGCACCTTCCCACTGCCTCCCCAAGGGCATGGGTCCCCTTCCTGCCCACACCACCAGGGCGGGCTCCTCCAGGCACCCCTGGTTGGAAGGAGCCAGGCACAGGCCTCAGCAGGGCTGCAGAGCAGCCCAGGAGGGCACAGGGGGAACCCCAGAGCACTGCTAGCAGCAGCCCAGCTGGGGCGGTGCATGGCAGGATGATGGGATGTATCCAGGGCTGACCCCCGCCAGGGCCCCCCCTTTCCTGGAATTTGGTCTGTGTCACAGGAAGGATGACCGCTTGCTTTCCTCCCCAGGATGGGAGGGAAGCGTTCGCCATCAGATCATCCTGGCTGCGGGCCCAGTGGAGACGGCTTCCCAGCACCCACGGGCTTAACTCCTCTCTTGGGCAAGCCCCGTCTCACGCCTTGGGACCCTGTAACTGGTACCGAGCTTTGCATGAAATGGGGATCCCAATTCAGCCCCCCTCCCCGCCCCAGCTTGGGTAAGCTCAGGCTTTCCTAAAAATCATCAAACCCTGATAAGAAAGTGTCCACCCAAAGCAATCAATCAGGCTGGGAAAGGATTGTGCAGGCTCCCAGGGGAGTGTCCCCAAGGGAGATGTTTCTCCTTAGTCCTGCTGCACAGCCCAGAGCGGTGCTCACACTGAGGGATGCACAGGGAGCGGGGAGCTGGGGGGCATTTTTCTCCCTTCCCTATCAAAGCATTTGGAGGACTTGACACTCCGCCTGATGGGACAGGAAACTGCTCGATGAGTGAGAGGGGTGAATTAACAGCACTGTGAGCGACAAGTGCAGCCACAGCAGCACCCCCAATGCCCATCCCATTGCCCGCACCCAGCTATGGACCCCTGGGTGATGTGTGCCAGTCCCTGCTACTGCCCCAGCCTCAAGGATGCTGAGCCTGTGGGAGCTGCGCCGGCTCCTGACACTGCCGGCTGCTGCTTGCGACTGACCTCAGCCAGACACGTCACCCCAAGCCATCAGCTGAAGCAGCAGGCAGGGGTTTAACTGCTGTGGTATGGGGCATGGTCCGGTGCCCTCCTCATGGGATGTTGGAGTGCCCGATATCCGTCCCTGCAGACGCTCTGGGGGCAGAAGGGCAGCAGTGAAGAGGACCCTGCCCACAGTGGGTTTTGCAGGGAGGGTGTTTGCCCTTTACGCAGGAGCAGCTGCCCCAGGAGGCACTCAGGCAGCCCTTCCCTTCCTCCTCAGAAGGCCAAGATGGAGATCATGGCACACATGCATCCGGACTTCGGCCTCTCTGTGTCCATGCAAAAGTAGGAGGCACGCTGGAAACCTCATCAAGCCCCTGGGGGAAACAAAGGGGTTGCCGGCTGCCAGTGACAGTGGTGCCAAGGCACAGCACTGCTTGTGCCTCTGGGAACAGGTCCCTCCGTCCCTCCCCACGCGGGGGGGGTGTCCCTGTGCTGAGCGTGCCTCAGCTGCCCGGAGCAGTCCCTCGCCCCAGCAGCATACACAGAGCGGGCACAGAGGCGCCCACCCGGCTGCAGTGCTTGGGCAGGGCACAGAAGCGAGCCATTGTCCCCGCGCTGCCCGCCTGACGCCAGCCACCACTGTCACCGCACTGCAGCCAGCAGCACTTGTGCCATGGCCGGGCTGGTGGGGCAAGCAGCATCCCTGGTCCTCCTCTGCCTGGCCACGGGGCTGGAGGCCAGCCCAGAGCTCTCCGGTGAGTCGGGGCACAGGCAGGGGGATGAGGGATGCTGGGGACGGTGCGACAGGCGGGTGAGGCAAGAGCAGGTTGGTGGGGTTGGGACAACACGTGAGGTACCAACTGGCAAAGACCAGAGGGAGTTTGCCAAAAAGAAATTGGGGTTTCGTATCCTTGCCACTGCAGGGTTGGGTCTAAAAACACCCTGTACGTGTCCCACAGCCCTGGTGTGAGCGAGGGGGCTGCTTCCCGCACTGCTACTGCTGTGCTCCCTTGGACAGTTTGGAGACAGAAATGCAAAACACCAAATCGTAAGGCAGTCCCCAAGCTTTCCTGAGTCCCCCGTGCACAGATGTGATGCTCATGGCCTTGGGTGGTGTGTAAAGCTGAAGACTCCTGGAGCACCCAGGGCTTCCGTGCAAGCCTTTGCTGCTCTGAAAAAGTGAGGGCAGAGATGGGCTGAAGCTCTACTCAGTTCCTGGCTGGAGCTGGCGGCTGTGGTCCCCATCCAGAGCCACCCATGAGGAGGGGGCTGCAAGATGCACTGCCAAAGGATGCAGACAGACCCTCTCCCCAAGGCCAGCACTGGTAGCCAAGGCAGAATTTTGGGATCTCTTGTGCCACTGTGCTTGAGATAGTCAGGGGAGTGCAGGCAGAAACCAGCCCTGCAGCGCTTCACCTCCGATAGCCCAGCACGGAGCCGCTGAGCTGCAGCGTGGGTGCTGAGAAGGTGGAGGAAGAGGATGTGATTTCATCTGGGCAGAGCTGACGGCACAGCTGCACGAGCAGGGACTGAGTCAGCTGCACTGAAATCGCTCACAGTCTGCCTGCAGCCTCCTCACCATGGCTTCACCCAAAAAAAACGTCTTCACAAGAGCTCACTGCCCCAAAGCAGTGCAATGGAGCAGCAGAGGAGGGTGCCCTGCTGCAGGACTGGATTTGGGGAAACCCATTTCTCCCCCTGTTCCTCACCCGTGTCCCTCAGCCCACTGTGCCCTGGCTGCCTGGGCACCAGCTGCCTCAGTGATGGTCAGGCAGGGCTGGAGATGGTGCCAGGCAGAAGCCGGGTGGCTCTGGAGCCTGCATGTGAGCCTGGCTGCCGCCATGAGCATGGAGCTGCTGCTTCCGTGGGTGCAGAGAAGGAGATGGGGCCAGCATGGTCCTGGGATGGGTCCCTGTGCCTTGAGGCCCACAGCACCCCACGATGTGGAGCAACCAGAGGAGAGGTGCAGGACAGAGTTTGTGCTGCCCCCCTCCGTGTGGGCACTGCACCCCAAGGGGCTGATACAGCTCTGATGTGCCCTCCACGGAGCATCTTTGCATGTCACGGGAGCTCTGACATGGCTAAGACAGCCTGTCTCCTCCCATCCACCCTCCTCTGCCTCTCCCTTCCCCTCTCCTCCAGCACTCAGAGGAGCAGGCAAGGGCTCACCTGCACAGGGCTGCAGCCTTTCCCCTCACTCATCCCATTCTTGCAAGGAGAAAGATTAACCCAAATTAACTCCCAGCAGCTCACAGCTGCATCCCTGGCTGCTCCTGGGGCAGGATGCCAGCCGCAGGGGACAGAGGGTTCACGGCAGCAAGGGAGGGGAAAGGGGCCCTTTGTGCAGCTGAGCCTGGCACCGGTTTTCAGAGGGACAGAGGGAGAAGCACGGGACTGGATGCTGGAGCTCCCACCTCCTTGTGTTGGTCTGGGGGAGTTTGACACACTGCGGGCTGGGGTTGGGGTGTATGTCCTGCCCTGGACCCCAGCACAGGGCTGGGATGCGAGTCCCTCCAAGGACTCCACAGCTAGGGGCCCTTTGTGCAGCTGAGCCTGGCACCGGTTTGCAGAGGGACAGAGGGAGAAGCACGGGACTGGATGCTGGAGCTCCCACCTCCTTGTGTTGGTCTGGGGGAGTTTGACACACTGCGGGCTGGGGTTGGGGTGTATGTCCTGCCCTGGACCCCAGCACAGGGCTGGGATGCGAGTCCCTCCAAGGACTCCACAGCTGAGGACTGGGGTCTGTGACACAAACTAGGCAGGATTAGAAGGGAGAATTCAGGGACAGAAGGGGCCAGTTCCCATTGGAAAGACAATGGACTGGGAATGGCTAGCAATGATGCACTGGGCTTCTCTGGCAGAGACACGGGGTCAGCTGGGCTCAGAGGATGACTTGGTAGCTCACATCCATTCACACCAACTCAGCCAACTGCAGCAGCCCACAGTGGCCACTGGACCCTTCCCTGCTCCAGCTCATGGCTTGACATCATGTCACAGAAAGCATCCTTCTCTTCCTGCTCTGGCAATAATCTCTGGGTGACCATTTCTGGCTCATCCTTGCTCAGTGTTCACCGTGTCTCCATATCTAACCTGATTTTCTCTAAACCTTTGACCACCTCATGGGATTCTTCTGTACTCATTTTTCCTGACCTGTCAACCTGCCTCCAGCTTTCACTTCCCTTTGCTAACCAGCCCGGCTGCTCCATGCTGCTTTCCAGCCCCTTGGCTGCAATGTTGGATGTGAGATTTGCTGTGAGTCCACCCTGCTCCTGTTTGCCCCATATGCTCCCAGCCCAGGGTGCCCCCACTGCCACCAGATGCCAGGAGCACAGCACCACCACCGCTGTGCTCCAGCGACCCCTGGCCAACACCACCATGCTCTCCCTCCTCAGGGTACCTGCGCAAGGTGCTGAGGAACCACACCACACACACCTGCGATGGTGAGCAGCTCCTCATCGTCTGCCCTCGCAGGACCACCATCAGCATCCTCGGAGCCTTCTATGGGCGTCGCGTGCCCAGCCCCAACCTCTGCCCCAGCCCTGGCAATGCTTCCCAGGAGAGCACCGAGTGTGTGTCCGCCACGGCCCACCTGGTAAGGGCAGGGTCTTGGGGACCGGGACCCACCCCACTCCTTCTCTGGGCCACTGGGTTGCCTGCTTTGACTGGGCGGCTGTGGCCCAAGGGAGGCTGCTGCCATTGGCATCGGGATTCACCCATGGGTTCCCTTCCTGGGAGGGTTTTTGGGAGATGAGGGTGCCCAAGACCTTCTGCAGTGGGTTGCAGGGCAGGCAGGAAGCGCTGCTGTGTCCTGAGCTGGCTTCTGGAGTAATCCCACAGGATGCAGCCAGCTGCAACCCTGGCAACTGGGCTGGGTCCTGGCAGTTGGGTGGCAGGCTGGGGACACGGGACAAGCTCAAGAGGGGTCAGCACAGAACCCGGCTATTCCCAGGCGAGGAGAAGCACTTGTCCCGCTGGCAGCACCCCGGAAGCAGGTTCATGAAGGAGGCCCAATGGAGAGTCTCTGGCTGGCAGTAGCTGGTGCACGAAGGGAAGACGGGCAGGGCACAGGGAGGGGGCAGCAGGAGGGTCCCTCGATGGGGACATGGTTTCACATGCTGCTTTTCTATTCTGGTTCCAGCTCCTTGCTAGAGCTGGGACCTGCAAAACTGCAGCAAACCCAGCTGCATGCATCTGCCCGTGGGGAAGGGGAACGTGGAGTTTGAGAAGAGGAACAAGAGCTGAGGGGCCAGTTCCCTGCTCTAGGTGGTCGTGACGCTTTGCTGCCCTGTCCTGCTCCAGCTGTAGGCCCCCTTCTGGCATCCTGTATGTCCCAGAAGCTCTGCAAGGGCCGAGCTGGACCATGCCAGCCACACAAATCATCCTGCAGGGTCCCCCAGGCTTGTGTGTCAAGCACAGGGTGAAGGATATGACCCAGCAGAGATGTTTGGAGACCAAGGAGACGGACTTGGCCCATCATGGCGACTGGTGGGATCCCAGCTGTAGGGCAATCCACTTCCCGGGGGGATGCTGGGGGCAGGGACAACGGCCCCGCGGGCTGCCCGAGCCCAGAGCCACCGGGTGGGCAGCGGCAAAGGGCACCCAGTGCCAGAGACATCTGGTGGCCGCATGTGTGCATTACACGGAGCGGCGTCAGGATGCACGCGTGTTGCACAGGGCTGTGGTACGGTGCACGCTGCCCGTGTTGCACACTCGTCGCACGGTGCAGCGCTGGCGCGCTGGCTGTGCTGGCACGCAGCTCTGTGCGGGTGCAGGGGACTGGTTCAGGAGCCAACACGAGGAGCAGGGGGATTGCGGCTCGGGGGGGGAGCAGCCATGGGACATCTCTGCAGGGGGGAAGCTGTTTGTCTGAGTATGGTGGTGGCACCGGGGCAGCGAGAACAGCCTCAGGACTCCTTACCCACCTTCTTGTCTGTCCTGCTTTGCTCTCCAGAAGCTGCTGGCTGAGTGTCAGGACCAGCAGTGGTGCCAGTTCTCGGTGCACAGCCAAGTCTTTGGGCCAGACCCGTGCCCGGGCACACACAAGTACCTCATCGTTTCCTACAAGTGCCGGCCAGGTAAGGTGGAGCAGGGTCTGGGCAATGCTGCAAGGGCCTCTCCCCAGCCTCAGCTGCTTGGGAAGGTCAGAGAGGGGAGCTGAGATGCTCCTGCACCTTGCGGCCCTCCTGCAGCACTGCCCAAGGGCTGGTCTCACACCCGCGGCTGGGCTGAGGGAGGGAGGCTGTAGGTGGCTCGGAATGCAGTGGGACACTCCGCGGTGTCACTCCCCAGGGAACCATCGGGTCAAGACTGTGTGTGAGAATGACAAGCTGAGGCTGCAGTGCCGGTCAAAATCCGTGCTGGCCATTTATTCTGCCAATTACGGACGATTCCTGCGGGGCAAACCAGAGTGCGATGCCCTGAACGCTGCGGGACCCCACATAGGTATGCCAGATGAATCGAGACAGAGAAATAGGGACAGAAGCCAGGCAGAGAGCACGGCACAAGTATGGCATCAGGCTGCTCCTGTGCCTCTCAGTGCCCCACAGGCAGGGGCAGGCAGGTCTGCCCACAGGTCCACGTCCCATGTCTTTGCAGAGTGCTTGGCTCCAGATGCCCTGCGGAGGGTCTCCAGGAAGTGCCACCGCAGGGGGAACTGCACAGTGGCTGCTGACCAGGCCACTTTCGGGGATCCGTGCCTCCCTGGCACAAAGAAACAGCTACGAGTGTCCTACACCTGTGGTGAGAGCCACCACAGGGCTGGGGCCACTGGTGAGCCCCTGTCGTGCAACCCCGTGCCACGCAGGCAGGGTGCGGGGCTGCTGGGCACACAGAGGGCTTGCTGGGTGATGATGCTCTGTGTGTACTCTCCTTGCAGTGCCCAAGCAGCTGCTGGAGGAGGTGGGCCCTGACACCTCGGACCCCTTCCTGCTCTCAGACTACATGCACGGTATCGTGAAGGGGAGGCTCTGTTAGAAGTATGGTGGCACTTGTGTCTGCACCTAGGTGAACCGGGCCTTCCATGGCCCATCTGTGTCTGTGGTACCCACCACTGGGACACGCCCTGCAGCTCCACCCCAGCATCACAGTCCCATGGCTACCACCACCCATCAGTCAGTGCCCACATCTGAGCAGCTGCAGAGATGTGGTCTGCTTGGAGCTGAGGAGAGGGGGACCCACTGGGAGCATCCTGCAGGCAGAGGAGCGCTTGTGCAGGAAGGAAGGAGAGTGGCGTGGGGACGGGGACAGGCAGCCAGCAGCAGGGCGCTGGGGAGCACCTTGTGCCTCAGCTCACGTCCCCTTGTCCACTACAGGTGGCTGGTACAAAGGGCCCAGGTTCTCCAGGCTCCGGGAAGACCGGATGATTTTTACTAGCTCTCTGGCAGCTTTTGCCCACCTCTGGGGTACGTGCGTTCCCCGGTTCTCACACAGCACCCAGGGGAGCGGGACAGGCTTGGGAGGGTGTCTCAGGGCCCGTGGTGGCCCTCACTCAGCCCTGGCTTGAGCACCCATCCTGGTCTGGGGGCACATGGACAGGAGCTCGGAGGTGGAATGAGCCCTGGGGTCCTGCACCACAGGTGGTTGCAGTGCTGCTGAGGTCCTGCCCACAGACCTTCCTTCTCGACTGGCACCGGCTGGGTATCCTTCTTTCCTGCCCTGTCTGTGGGGGCACTGATGGAGAGCACTGCTCTGCAGGCAAAAATTTCCCTTGCCAGGGGAAATGGCTCATTTAAGTCCCCAGCAAAACAATTCCTCCCCCTGCTCTGCCTACCCTGCATCCCAATGGGGGCTTCCTATGGAGAAAGGGGCATTCTGGGACACTGGAGTGTGCTGATGATGGGTGACGCTCCCCAGTCACTGGGGCAGAGTCAGCCCTGGCTGCTGGGGGCATCCCTGCTCCCCTCCTCTTCCTGCCCAGCAGAGGGGGGTTTCCAGGCACTGGTACCTGCAGGCCGCAGAAGCAGTTTGTACCCTGGTGTCTCTCTTTGCTCTTCACCCCCAGGTGTCCCAGAGAAAGTTGGCCTTTACTTTCTTTGTGGGGTCTCTGGAGGCCTCATGCTCCTGCTGTGCATTGTCAGCCCCAAAACCACCTTCCTCCAGGAGGTGGGGGAGGCTTTTAGAGACCCAGAGCTGGGCAGCAGCTCAGAGCTGAGCAGGACCAAGCTGCAGGATGAGCAGGATGAAGACCTTCATGACGACAGCTCTTCGGACTCCTCCTTCCGCCGCCTCACCCGCACCTACCGCGCCACCGACAGCATCTTCAGCCCTGAGCTGACGGCAGCCATGGAGGGAGCGGTGGAGCACCAGGGCTGCGGTGGGGAGGAGATCTGGATGCCCAAGGAGTCAAGCCCTTATGCCATCCACAAGATCAAATCAGCCACCAAATGAGAACCGGAAGAAAACGGATGAAGAGCAACGGGAGGCGGAGGCTGAGTGGGATCCAATATGGGAGAGATGGAGTTCGTGCTCCTCGGGGTGAGTGGGCATCCTGAGTAGCAGCAGGACCACAGTGGCCCCAGTGTGGCCATCAGCCCACTGCTCCACCAGACTGGAAACCTCTAACCTGTGGGTGGTAAGATGTGGTCCCTGGGTGTGATGAGGGGCTGAGGCCCTGGGGACCGCCAGCTGCTTTGCTGCAAAGACAGCACTAACCCTAAGATAACCTCCCTGTTCCTGGCTCGCGCTGGCTAGCTCTAGTACTTACCCCTGCTCAGTCAAGACCACCCTGAGCCTTTCCAGGCTGTTTGCTCCTGTTTCTTCTTGGATGCTGCTGCGTCCACCCCTGGTGCTGCCAACACGCCACAGTGCTCAGGCTGCGTGCTGACAGTCGGGATGCGGGGAGGGCACAGGCAGAGCGGGTGGGAGAGCATCACCCAGCACAGCTCTCCCGTGCCACATGCCTTGTGGCCCTGGTCCCCCGCAGTGAGCTTGGCACGGTGCTAGTGCTCTGCCACAGGCGTTGCTCCAGGCTTTCCTTCGTGCTTCCCCCACTGGCAGGGGAGCCCCAGGGGTAACTCGCTGTGGCTTTTTCCAGTAAATAAACACAACAGCCCATAGAGCAATGTCCCTCCCTGACCTCTGCCATTAATGGTGTAAATGGAGAGAAAAAGAAGCGGCAAAACTCAGCCTTCCCTGTGCAGATCAGCTCCTTGCCTCCCACCCGTGTTTCTGGCACTGGGCCACGAGGAGCAACAAGTTGGGCCTCTTTTAGCATGGGAAAGGATAAGGTTTTAGCCTGAGGAAGGGAAAGGGGGGGGGAATGGCCCATGTGGATCCCATGAATGACGCTTCCCTGCCCTCACTCCTCTTCTTGAGCCTGAGACTGTCTGGTGAGCAGACACGGAGCAAGCATCCCCAGAGGCCGTGCACAGGGGCTTGTTGTCAGTACCACAGTGCAGAGAGCCAGGCTGGGCCTGGGGGCTGCTCCAGTCCCAACAGGCAGCACAGGCTCTGCAGTGCTGTGGGAAGGAGATGCCTGGAAGCAGCGACCCAGATGTCTCCCAGTAGGGACACTCCAGGCACCAATGGTCTTGAGCTGGCATGTTAGGGGGTCTGTTTTTCCATCCATCACTGCATGTGAAGTGCTTGGGCTGGGCACAGCGAGAGAAGGCTGGGGGACACGTCAGTGCACCCCTTAATCCAGCTGGTGCTGGTGGTCTCTGGGAGCCAGGGGGCACTGGAGCCACACTGTGCTCGGCAGTGGATGCTCTCTCCTGGTGCAGAGCTGAGCACTGTGGCAATGTAGAAGCCTTGTGCTCCTGCTCCAATGGGGGGAGGGCGAGGACTGGTATCCTGCTTGATGTGGGGGCTTGCTGAGGGATGCCAGAGCCCAGGGGGAGTCTGGGGGGCTCTGGCCTCAAACTGGCCCCCAGCATGCTTAGATGATGGGCAGGACTGAGACCACAGACCTGCCTCTGTGCTTGTACAGCTGGCACAGCTCCTGCTGCAGACCCAGGGGTTTGCCTTGCAGGATCCACTTCTTGCTCCCCCACCTTTCCTCCAGTACCCCTGTGGCACGTGCGGTGCGAGCTGCAGCTCCCACAGGGGGGCTGGGCTTCCCAAGAGCCTCCTGAGGAGCACCAGCACCGTGGGGACTGGAAAATCCAGCTTCCCGCACCAAGCCTGGGCAGGATGGGCAGATGTGGACTTGCCCCAAAGCAGGCGGCTTGCCCAAGCCTCACAGAGCTGCAGGCACACCTGGATGGAGGTTTTCTGGGTGAAGATCTCATCCCACACGCCGATGCACTGTCTGTGTTTCTATCAGCAGTGGGATGTGTCTCAGCTCTGCCTGGCGAGTATGAACCCGACGCATATTTTTGGCTGGAGGATGCACTGCTCCAACATATGCAAGGAGGGGCAGACACCTGGATCCCACAGGGATCCCAGGCCAGCAGTGAGAAAACCGCAGGTAGCTCCCAGGCCAGGGGTAGCAGCGGCAGCACCACTGTAGCTGGGGCTGAAGAGGACAAGTGGATGAGGTGGAAACGGGGTGGGCTGGAGCTACAGCAGCCCTGACCTTTTCTGGGGACTGATGGTACCCGAGATCTGTGGATTAAACCATGTTTAAACCCCCACCCTCCCTGTTAGCACCTCAAAGCCATTCTGCTGCTCCTGGCTGTCAACAGCCCCAGGTCTTTCTGCTAGAGACATGGCGGAGCTGCCTGTATGTGGCCCAAGAGGCACTGCCTCACTGCAGGGAGAAAGGACTGATCCTGCCTGCATGGCCCCTGGGCAGCGGGTTTAAGTTCCTTCGGATTCTGGCACGGGGATGCTTCCCTAGCAAGGTGTTCATCAGCTCCATCTGCATCAGCAGCATGTGGGTGTGGCATTATCCCAAAGGATTTCCTTTGGTTAAGTTTGGGGATCTGGAAGATTTTGCTGGGAATCTGCCAAGGGTTTTGGGGGGCAAGGAGCTCTCTCCCTGGCCAGCATATTAAACTTATGCCCCGTTTGAGCCTGCATCCACAGCAGTGGGTTGCAGCCCTCAGAGCTCAACCAGGGGGGCTGAACTGGTGTGCCATCCCTGCCCGGCTGGGGGTGACAGATCTGCCCTAAGGCTGCGACAGCCTCGTGGTTCCTCCTTTCACCAGCAACAGATCTTTGGTAATCGACCGGTGCGGCGTGTAACCTCGTAGTGAGGCAGGTCTGGTTTGTGCCTCGGTAACTTTGACTCTGCCTCCGTAGGTTTGAATCGTTGTTCAAATGATCGTGCAGTGCAGTAACAGCGAACCTTGCACCCAACAAACCACCTTCTCACAACATCGTGTTAAAACGGCTTTGCCGATGCCTTTGACCGTGTCCTCTAAGCGACCCGAATCGCTCATTCGCAACACCGGGTCACAGGAGCTGCCAGCCCAGGGT